TTTGGCACTCTTCTAATCGACGATCAAAGACTGTCGACAAAGATAATATTATTTTTTTAATCTTTTATAAGTACTTGTAAATGCAAGTAAAAATGTTTTTTTTTGTTATGTAAATATTTCTAATAATTTGAGGGTGAAAACTACACTAGAAAAACTGTCATGGACTGACAGGGTTGAATGGATACGCAGAGTTGTAGGTGAGGAAGATGAAAGAGATTTTTAAAACAGGAGGAAGAAAAAGAAGCAATAGAGAATGTTGATCGAGAAATTTCTTCTTAATTTTGAATTTTCTTCTTCAATTGATTTGATTTTAGGATTTTAAATCTATTTTTAATAATTAACATTGTATAAAATAATATATCATCAATATTTTAAATATTTATTCATTTAAAATATTTAAATATTCTTCATAAAAGATTTATTTGAATGATCGATGCATAATTTTTTACTCAGAAACAAAAGTTCCAATTTTTCTAATTTCTGCAAATAAAAAGTAGTCAAGCTACGCATAAGGATATAAAATAGGTGCATGATATCATATATATTATATAGTATTCATTTTTATATTATAGAATTGTTAAAATTAATTTTAAATTAAACAAACATTAAATTCGATTCAAATAATCACAGTTTTTGAACTTATGGAGTGACTACAAATATTTCAAACACTATGGTTTGAATTAGTTTTAGGTTGATCAATTTTTATTTTTCAACCATATAAAGTTGGTTGATTTGATCATTTCCCCCTTGTTTTTGTTTGTATATTTTTCTTTGATAATATTTTTTACTGCTTAGTTTATTGCTTCCATGATTTCATAATTAATGGTAACGTGCTCTTGATAATGTTTAGTGGATCTCATTGGAGATGTTAGCTCTGTAAAACAATGAATAAAAAACCATGATAATGAAAAATTGTTTTAGAACACTTGTTAAAAAGAATTTCAAATCATGGCAATAAATTTCAGACTGATGAATGCCATGCAGGCAAAGTACTCAAGTAGGGTTTATTGGCCATACATACCATGACCTCTATGATTTGAACTTTTTATGAATAAAACCAAAAGGTTAAAGTGCCTAAAGGTGTACTAAAATTGTACGTGAGAAACACTACCAAAAAAATATTTTTTTCTTTATTAAAAGCCTTTTCTTTGATCATTGGTGATGTGTACTTGGATTTAACGTTGATGGTATTGGTAGTTGTTAAACGCAAAGTAGAATGAATTTGTTGAACATAAAAATCGAAGCATCAACTTAAGCTTCAAAATAGATAGGTCTCCAATCTGTCCCACTTCCTAGTTACATTGATGAATGAATTAATAACAATAAAATTTTGATTAGAATAGATATAACATTTTAAAGTAAGAATTCGTTTATTTCACAATGTTGCTTTTTGGGAATAAAATGGATTTGCTGTACAAGCAACAATTCTGCCTTTTTTTTCTGGCATTACCAATTATTTTCTTCTCAAAGAGAAAGAGGTGTACAAAGAACAAAAGATATCAATTTTTCAAGGAGGAAGAAGACAACAAACAAGTATATTAATTAATACATTATAAAAGGGAGGCCACATACATGCATAATACTTGATACCACAATTTTTTTAATCCCCCAGCTGCCAATTCTCTTACAACTCATCCTTTACATCATCTTCCCTAATATGCTACTAATTTCAATAATAACACCAATACTACAAAAGAAAGAGAATACAAAACAACCCATACCAGCAAGTTTCACCATTTTTTTCTAGTATTCAAACATCATATCTGCTGATGCCATGATGGGTTGGTTCAGATGAGGGATATTAAAAGGGTTGGTGGTGAAGCTTTCATCACTTGTTTCAAAGCCCTCGGATTCATACACCCAATTGTTGAGACAATGGAGGATCTGATTGAGAGATTCGAGTCTTTGACTTAGTTCCATCATCTGAGCCCTTAGAACCGAGTTCTCAGCCTCCATGCTCATATAGAGTTGGGTGGTGAAGGTGATGCTTGTGAGGATCTGGATATTATCCTTGGTTAACTGACTCACTTAGGCCATTAAATCATCTACGTGCTTTTGTTTCCTCATCCTTGAGCTCCTTGCTGATTCTCGGTTGGACTTCATTCTCTTTCTTTTTCTTTGATCCATCAACTGATGCAAGTCTCCTTCAGATCCCGATGGCACCATGGAACCTGAGGAATTGGAGTTTCCACTGGACGAAGCCATATAATATATAATATATATATATACACCAAAATCACAGCTGAGAAGTTGAAAAAGAAGAAGATACTAATTATAGAGAGTTATTATATATGATAATAGCTCTAATATATGAAAGTGAAGGATTTAGAGAGAGATTATTTATGAAAACACATAGAACCAGTAGAGGAAGACAACAGAGAAAGATTGAACGAGATGAGTCCTGCGTCTAAGGGAGGAATTTATCATAAACCCCGAACGGAGTATTTCACTCACAACTGGAGACATGAATCTCAAACATCAAGATTTCACACAGCATCTGAGCAAATTGAAGTTTAAAGCAGGAGCTAAACCAGCAGAGCTTCAGCTCTACAAAAGCCTAAGAAAACGAAGAAAAGGCCTGGATTCCTACAAGGGCGGAAGAGAAGAAAAACTGGAAGAGATATATGAGAGAAATGAGAAGGGAATTTATAGAAGAAAAAAAAAATAAATAAAAAGTGAAAAAGCATTGAAATCTCCTTCATGAGAGTTGATTAGGCATGCAGGGTGGAGACGAATTTCCCACATACGTCCAATTCCAGCTGGTCACCATTACTCTCACCATACAAATTATTTAATCATAACCATATTTCAAGTTTTTTTCTTTCTATTTCCTCAACTGTTGCTTGTACTGCATCATTTATTTTTTTATAACTATTGGTATTCGATCTATTGATTAATTAATTCGGATTGAATATCATAAAAGTGAATGCGACACTCCCAACTCAAATTGTTCCATTTGCAGATATTAAGATTCGAACATCTGATCTTATTCAAAGGATTTAGTGTCTCAACCCACTAGACCACCTAGTGTTGGTGTAGAACATTTCACCTTTTTGTTAAATTTTAAAAATTGATTTATCTTATTTTTAGTTATAAAAAACTATTTTAATAGATTACGTTATTCATGTTTCAATAAATTTTGACGAAAAATGTAATATCAACGAGTTATATGTTTCAATTGATTTTTTTTTTTAACTTTAAACTTTGTTGTATTAAATATTTTATTGATTATTTTGTTTTACTAATTGGGGTTCGTGATTATAACATCTCGTTCTTCAAATTATAAGCTTGCAATTGTAAACGAATTCATTTACCTCAGTTTCACCGCCTGTACCAGAATTAACCGTTTAAGTTTTGCAGAGTTGTTTTTCTGACATGTGACAGTTGCTTAAAACCAAAAGGAATCTTAGGGATGGCGGTGTTATTTCAAGCCGTTCAAGGGGTAATCTAGGCATTGGCTTTAAAATAATAATAGTTTAACACTTTATATTTGTTTAGCACTATGTAATTCTATTTGTTACTACTAACAAAATAATTTACCTCCCTGACTATTAGAAATTTTGTAGGCCGGAAAAGATTCAAGTGAAATTTTGTATGAAATAAATCATACTACATTTCAATTTTTTGAATAAATGTTTAAATACTAACTTGAATTATGGATATATCAATTAATAAGATAAAAATGTGTTTAATCCAATGAGGATTGGGTTTAATTAGTTATAGAAAAGATTTTTTTCAATTGAGAATGGAAAAGGAAGGACCGAAGGTACGGATTTTTCATTATGGTTGAATTTTCAGTCAATTTACTTGTTTTGAGTATTATCACTATAGATAATGTGACACATGTCATGTCATCATTGATACATGTCATATTATCACATTGGATGATATATCATATGTCACATCAATAATTAAGTACATGTGAAAATAACACTTCAACACTATATGTCGATTGTTAGTTAACTAACAATTTCCTTTTAATGGAGGATATTTTGATTAAAAATGAAATGTTAGGTACTAAAATACTAAAATAAAAAGAACAATGGGAAAAATTATGCAAAAGTTGGAAGTAATTTTATCATAGAAAAATTTTCATTTAATTTACTTGTTTAAACCCAGAGAAAAAGGAGAAGAGAGTTGAAAACTGTAATATTACCATCATATTCTCATTTTTTATCTTCTCTTTCTCGTATCTTCATTATCTATTAAACCTTAAATTTAAACACTATAAAAATGATCTTTGATATTCAAATCAATCATGCATCCAAGATTGAAGAAAGTAAAAATGATAATCTACATTTCAGGAGCTTCAAGAAAAGTTCATTGTCCTATCCCAAAAATTATGTGAAGCTACTTGAAGACTTTATAGGGTTTAAGCTTGGAAGATATTCTCTAGACCATTTTCATTATATTTATGTCTAAATTTGTAGTATTACTTCCCTTAATATTTTGGTGATGTATAAATTGGTTTTATACTTGGTTGATTAGTGAAAGAAGTTGGTGAGCTATCTAGGGAAAGAGGGAAGATAAGATTGAAAGAAGCTAATTAAAAGAGTCTAATTTTTGTGATTTGTATTGAGGTAGTATACTTTAAAATATTTCATTTTTTTTTTCCTTTATGCTCTAAAATACTTCTTGTATTTCATAAGTTCAATGCTATGCATTTTGGTGTAATGGATATTGGATGTTTTGAGTATCAATACAAGAAAATATACCTTTAATGACACAGGCTAATTTATGATTTGTAAAATATGTGTGTCATAAACAAAATGTCATGTTTTTTAAAATCTGAACGATTTATGACTTACAATAATATGTGTTATATTTAATAGTCATAATCCAAAAATTTTAACAAAAACAATGAGTAAACTTTTAATTGTGTGTCATATATAAAAGTTATCTTTTAATTTCCCCCATTATTTTCATCCTTTACTGTTCTAGTCTTGGCCTCCTCGATAATCAGTTCACGCACGTATGCTTCCCCTTTATCTCTTTGCATCAGTGGACAATTGAAGCAATGCTTCTCGGCTTTCATCGCCTCAGCCCTAGCCTCTTATCGCCAAAACCCCTTAAAAGTCCAGGTTAGTCTTCCTCTGTTTGGTTCTTTAGAAAAATCTAGAAGTTAAAGGAGTGAACATTAACAAAGAAGTGTTGAGCACTGTTTCGATTTTGCTTTTGGATTTTGATTTTCCCAGAGGGTAAAACTAAACGTCGTGGGATTCTACCTTATCTTCGTCTTCTCTTGATGACTCTACCGGCTTAAACCAAAATTCTGATCTCAGACCGGTTGGCCAACGTTTCGATTTGTTGACACTCACTGAACCTAGTCGTGGAAATGGCGATGACTTTGCCAATGCATCGTTGAATCGGGAGAGAGACAACGGTGATGAAGAAGACGACCAATTAATTGTGGAGAATAAGGATATAATATGTGACGAAAGGCCCTCTAGTTCTACCAGTAGTGGATATGCCGGTGAGAGAGGAAGTAGTAGTGCCACGAGCGAGTCTAGGATCGATGAAGTGAGTGAAATTGATGGTAATGAGATTCATGAAGTAAGGAACCATGGTTTCCTCGAAGGATTCTCCGTTAATCAAGCACCCCCTTGGGTTCCAGGTAAACGCCATGTTGATGAGGTTAGCCATTCCAGTTCTTTTTCCTTGTTGAACAAAAAAAATGGTTTAGCTTGTTTTTCGCCGAATTTAGTAAATTTAAAGTTGGGAATGTTTATGAGGCTTTGGAATTTGGATCAGTGGATAACGATTTTATTGTTTGAGTGTAAGAATTATTAGCCTTTCATGGTTTGATTTGGAAACAAAAAGAAAGAAGCAACTTCAAACAATCTTTGCTATATTGCATCATGTTTAATTTAGGAATGAAGTGCAGGATGATGGTTCGACAGCATGGAGAAAGAGGAAGAAACACTTCTTTATTTTGAGTAATTCTGGTAAATCGATATATTCCAGGTGTGTTAGTAGTTCCTAGAAATGCTAACACTTGAAGGTGCAAAATCTGCACAAATAAAATGAACAGCTTGCTAATGGATCCTACTTTAATTATTTTGTACATTTCACTTCCAGATATAGAGATGAACACAAACTAGCTGGTTTCTCAACTACATTACAAGCCATCATTTCCTTCGTGGAGAATGGGTAATTGGCTGGATATAGCTTACTTGGTTTTTAGTAATGATTCATGTACTTACTCAGTGCAATTATTTGGGAAACTTTATCATTTTTATGTCAGTTTCATGGGGTTTTAACATTTCGGTAATTGCTTTTCAGGGGAGATCGTATCAAATTGATCAAGGCTGGGAAACACCAGGTATTGTTACACTTGCTACTTTTGGATTTGAAATTTATGTACTTTCTAATTTTCCAGCTCTGCAATCAGTTGTTATTAGACTACTTGCATTTGAAATACTTTCTCATCCATTTAATGATTAATCTTTTAAGTATTCCTTTGAATTGACTTTTCATATTTTTGAAATTGCATTCTTTAGAAATAAACACTGAGGAGTTGCAATTTAATTTCTGTTTCACAGTAGTATAATCAGCGTAGTTTCATTAAATGTGATGGAACTTTAATCCTCAAATAGTTTTGTAATATTTGGCAAGACGTGTCAATTAATTTTAAAAAGAAAAGTGAATGATGTGATAGCCGTTTGTTTGATATTGTTAGAAATAGACATGTTTACATGGACAAAGAAGTGTTGGCCTTCTATTTTTCTTTTGGTAGATGATCTGGGTGATTTTTCTGCGGAGCTTAAACTGTCGTTTTTTCAGCTTGGTATCAGCCCTTAGATCATTGCATCCATAATTATGCAGGTTTGTAATTTTTCTTTGGTCATATAAGATTTGTTTTACATGATTGTATAAACTTTTAAATTCCATATTTTTTTCTACACTTCATGCTATGAAATCTATTTTCCACCCTCATGTTATATGTTTAAGTGGAGATAGATAGATAGATAGATGTTGAGGATGGTTACTATGTTCTTTTAATACGGAATGGTTGTACAAAACTCTGATGCTTTCTCACAAGAAATTGGCAGGATATGACACATATTCAACCTTTTCCCGGAATAAAACTTAAACATAATTTTCACATGTTCTCTATTCATTTTTTCCATCTATGCCTTATATTTGAGCTTTTATTTGTAAACTAAGTTCTTATGGTTTTTGCAGGTTTAAGCATGTTGTAACACCCATAACCCGTAGGATTATACCTATACAGATTATAGATGTCACCCGAATTTATAAAACCATTTCCACTTCAAAAGTGATTTAAAATTTATTTTCTTTAAAATGGTAAATGATATTATAAAAATATCATATCTTATGAACTATAATTCTTTATAAAAAAAAATTAATACCAAATACGTGAACAGTAACGTGAACAGTGTACCGATGCATAAAAACTTCGAATCAAAAATGTGTATCGATGCACTGCTACAGTTCATCGATGCACTACTACAGTAACTTCCAAAAATTACATAAAACTTATAAAAACTTAATCTTTCATCACTGTACTTTTACCATTTTGTTTTCAAAAATAATTCAACAAACCAAATTTAACATTTATAATTACATGTCATTATCTCAGTCAAATTCTATTATAGGATGTTTTACTAATATTGAAATATACTCATCGATGCTTGATGTTATTCAAAAGTCTTTACTCTACTACTGGCTTTTTACCTACGCGTGAAAATCATCACACGCTAAGTATATACTTAGTGAGGCAATTAAGACAATAAATAGTGCAATACAATTCATGCATTTCAATGTCAAAATAAAAATTCCATAAAATCATGTTATCAATATATCAAATATTTTACCATTATCAAAATACTATAAAATTTCTTATCAATATACATACCATTTAATCCATAAGCTCATAAACTTATTTTACCAATATACTTACCATTATTCCATAAGCTCGTAAGCTTATTTTATCAATATACTTACTATTATTCCATAAGCTCGCTTATTTTACCAATATACTTACTATAATTCCATAAGCTCGTAAGCTTATTTTACCAATATACTTACTATAATTCCATAAGCTCGTGAGCTTATTTTACCAATATACTTACTATAATTCCATAAGCTCGTGAGCTTATTTTACCAATATACTTACTATAATTCCATAAGCTCGTAAGCTTATTTTACCAATATACTTACTATAATTCCATAAGCTCGTAAGCTTATTTTACCAATATACTTACTATAATTCCATAAGCTCGTAAGCTTATTTTACCAATATACTTACTATAATTCCATAAGCTCGTAAGCTTATTTTACCAATATACTTACTATAATTCCATAAGCTCGTAAGCTTATTTTACCATTATAATTACTATAATTCCATAAGCTCGTAAGCTTATTTTAACAATATACTTACTATAATTTCATAAGCTCGTAAGCTTATTTTACCAATATACTTACTATAATTTGCATCACTGATGCCATTAACCTCATTTATTAATCGTTATCGGAATCCATACATTCCATAGGAAGTTTATACAATTCGTATAATTTCCTTATAATATTAGCACTCTCAGTGCTCTATCTGGAATATCATATACTTAATATGATTTCCTTCTCATTTTAGCACACGAAGTGCCCTATTCGAGAATCCATACCATTATGATGATTCCTTTACCATTTTTAGCACATAAAGTGCCATATTCGAGAATCCATACCATTAGTATGATCCCTTTACCATTTTTAGCACATGAAGTGCCCTATATGAAAATCCATACTATTAGTATGATTTCCTTATCCTTGTAGCACCCTTAGTGCTTTTTTCTGGAAATCCATACACTCAATATGATTCCCTTACCATTTTAGCACATATAATGCCCTATCTGGAAATCCATATATTCAATATGATTTCCTTATCATTTTAGCACACTCAGTGCTCCATATGGAAATCCATACACTCAGTATGAATTTCTTATCATTTTAGCACACTCAGTGCTCCATATGGAAATTCATACATTCAATATGATTTCCTTATCATTTTAGCACATATAGTGTCATTTGGTAATCACTATACATACATTAATAAATCATGCTATTTTAACTATTACCACATGTACGTTCATAATTAGATGCACTCACCTGGTTCGCTTTGCTTATTTATCCTGATTAGCAAAATGATTACTCTGAGACTTGGCCCTTGCCTTTCGCCTTACTCGACTCGGGAGCTTGATTTCGATCTATCTCCCATTCATTCAGTACATGTATATTACCAATTGTTAGTGTATTTACTAACCATTATAACTTAAACATTAATAAAAATATTTATTATTAATTTTTCTACAACATTTCCGTCCCAACTTAACAATTCTGGCCCTTATGTATCGATGCACTCAATAGCGTATCGATGCACTGCCTATGAATTGATGCACTTATTGCATTCGATGTTTTTCAATTGAAGGGTGTATCGATGCACTTTGCCCAGAAATCTCACTTTAAGCACGAAATTTCACTCCTTTCAACTTCAATACTCCATGTTTCTTCCCCTTTCATGTTTTTAAGTCACATACACATGCTTAAACTCATTAATACTCATTTATCCCATCTTTAACTTCAAAATTCACTTCTCTACATAGAACTCAATATTCATACTCAAATTTTAACATATTCTAATCATCATACATGCTTGAATATGCATATACTACCTCACAAACATCAAGATTCATCATCAATTCCATGATACCTTATATGAACATAAACTATAGAATTTGGGGTCTTTGAACACTAGCAAGATTATCAAACAATATTGGTACCAAATGATATCGTTTTTCGCATACAATAATTTTCTATTTACATCATACTCAAAATCCTAAGGAAATTGCTTGAAAATTGAGTTGAAACTTTCTCTCACCTTTGAAGAAAACCCACACAACTTTGGAGAAGAAGAGAGCAAATTTGGATGAAATGTTGGGTGCATTTCATCTTTGTTTAAACTATATTCCATTATAAATGAATATAATATTCATTTAATTGGGATAAGACCAAATCACCCTTAATGAATCTTCTTAATCACCATAAAACCATGGCAACTCATCCTTATCATATTTAGAAGTCAAAGATGAATTAATTTGACTTTAATTTCTGAAATTTCTCTTAAACTTTTCAAAAATTGCATTTTAGTCACTAAATTCCACTGTTTCGGTTAAATCTAAACAATTGCACATTTCCAAACAAATTTTATCTAATCTAAATATTAAAATAATACTTCCAACCATTTTATACCATCCTTCAAATTTTTATAAAATTCCAATTCGATCTGAATTACCGATTCCTTACCGGTTTCTACTATTTCTAATTTTTCTTTACTAAAATTCCAAATCCAAAATATGATTTCTATAAAACCCCCACTCTCAAGAGTAAACTATCTATTTATGGAATAAAATTCTTTTTGGGAAAATTACCACTTAATTCCTTAAACTTTTCCCAATTTTCTACTTTGACCATCTAACTTTCAAAATTTGTATTTTGGTCATTATCTAAATTTTTGGGGTATTACACATGTGATGGTGACTTATTTACTTTTGGTTTGTGGTGCAATGACTATGACATGGATCTGTGATACGATATCAAAATCTGAATTTGGTATCATTCTTATTACATTTACTCCTTGTTTATTTCAATTGTTATAGACAAGTTTTTAATTTAATAAGAACAACTGAGTAACTAACCGAATAAATGTAAAGCTAGTGGTTATTTTCTCTAGAATCTATAATGAGGAAAACTCTAGAAATAGAGCTTTAAGCAAAAGAGTTTATTCGATGTGCAGAGACCTTATGTTGGATTGGAGGAAATAATAGGAAATAGTGATATTCTTCTCATATGTTCACCTTGAGACGAGAAATATGCTTTTATCCAAGATTATAGAAGTTATAGAAATTCATTAAGTTTCATCCTTTCACCTTGTCCAAAGTTAAGGAAAGTTCATATAAAATTGGTGTTCTTTTTAAAGATCCTGTTTTCTTACAATTTGAAAGTGATGAAGTTGCACATTACTGTGATGTTTTGAGTATTGTGGCCTTCTTAATTCACTGCTTGTGTGTTTCAGGTCAAGGTTCGTCTCTAATTATATGTGTTGGAATATTAACTAGATACACAGATACGCTGTATGAGATGTTGACTCAACTCTCAGGTATGCCACATGTGTTGACTAAGGTCGTCTTCTTAAGTTGGGTGGAGCTTTTGTCAAAATTATATTTTTTAGTTCAAAAACTGTCATGTTTTAAAAGTAAAAAAAATGATTTCATGATTTCTGTTTTCCATGCAAAATTCTTATTATTAATAAGTAAAAATATCCTAAGCGGTTATTAACGAATTAAGTTTGACTAGGTAGGCAGCCTAAAGTTGTGGTACCAAAATCTGATTTCATTGTAAAGAGTACATTCTGTAGCTATTTCAATGAAAGTAATTCAGTATGTGGGTCATAGGAAGGTGAGGAAAGTGGTGTGAAAATTGTATATGTACACTAGTCCTTTAGTGATTATTTGCTCAACTGCAACGACCTTGGTTTTCTATAGATGTGGACATCAACTATACGCGTCTTCTGTATTTTTTTCAGTGTGCATCATTATTGGTTTCTTGCATCCACAGGCAGTGCCGTGAGTTGGTGGCCGTACATGCTTGCTGTATTAGGTGTTTTTACTGTAGTCACCATGTGGGCAGCTGTAATTGAGGGTTGCAGGAAAATAAAGCTGCAGTACTATGGGTTTAAACTAGCATCTGCTGCAAGGTAAAGTCAGTGCTACTTACCTAGACATTATATGCATTTGGTGGAGAGACATAGACTTTGGTTTCAATTCTTCTTTGTGCAGCATAGATAGTACAGTTCATGGCTAATTCGAGCAGGGAGCAGTAACTAATTTTATGTGAACTACGACTATTGTTCAATTCATTTAAGGAGATTTGTAACTTTCAGTGTTTGTTTATTAACTTATAATAATGATTATATGTTCTTTCTCAATGTCGTATTTTCTTTGTTTTCTTTGACTAATCGTTTATTGTAAACTGTTTGTAGTGTCCCTGTCAGTCGGGAGGTACCGAGTGTGGATATTATGTTTGTAAGTTCATGAAAGAGATAGTCGAGAACGGAATTGAAGTGCTGGTCAATAAGAATGTAAGCAAACTTTTCTGATACACATCTGTCATATCATACATACACATTAGTCATACAACTATCATATGGACTTGAAGTAGGATGCTATTCTAAACAAATTAATGCAAGTACTTGTTAGTAAGACTGAAAACTGTGAATTCGTGCCGTGATAATGTATATAATTTATATGAGAAGTTTTACTAATTAAATGTGTAAAATTTATTTTTACATATGCTTCAAAGAATGCATATGTAAAATTGGTCATTTTAGTACTCTTTGATAGTTATATACTTCACTTTAAATAAGTATAAATTTTATACTTATTTCATATTTTTTACTTAGGTTGGCGTTGGGAAGGAGATATTCACAAAGAATTGGTATCTTATGTGGCAAACTTTATTATGCCGTGATATTTTGTATCGACATATGATTACAATATTTTTGATAACTTAATGTGAATATATTGTATGCAAATGGATTGCTTATATATAATATGATATATATATTTAGTATTATGAGGCATTAAATGTGATTTAGTTTGATTAGTTGTTAATCTACAATATATATATATATATATATATATATTTTACGAAATACAATCACGACACACGAATGTGTCATCTTCATTTATGACGGGGGCCTCAATGACACGCAATGTAAGTCATACATGCGTGTCATAAATTTATGACACACAAATGTGTGTCATCTTTATTTATGACGGGGGCTTCAATGACGCTCAATGCGCGTCATAAATGTGTGTCATAAATGCGTGTCATAAATGCGCATCATAAATTTATGACACACAATTGCGTGTCATCTGAGATTTATGACGGCGGCTTCAATGACATGTATTTGTGTGTCATCTACACCTATAGATGACACGCAATGAGCGTCATTAAAGGGATTTTTTCTAGTAGTATGTTAATCATCTTTTAATAATCTTTTTAATGATTTGACATTAAAAGATGCTAAAAATGACGTTGAACGATGTCTTAATGATCCCATTAGCTCTAGGATTCATGTAGGACTCTAAAACAAATATTTAGAGATATTTTAGAGTGGTAATCGGAGTCTTACATGAGTTTTCTTAGATTATAGTATCGATACTGAGCATTCATACTTTGTAATTTAATTTTTTTAGAATAAATTTTGTATTATTTTATTAAGATAATACAAACCAAGACCAAAATAATCACAACACCTGCAGAGCCAACTACCACAGACTATCAAGACCATAACGAAAACAGACTAATACTCAAACCTCATGGGCGACAACAGGAAAGAGGGACGACATCTGCAGAACTCAAAACACTACGTCAACTTACAAACAAAACTCCATAATTTAATATTCATAATCTCTAATTGAGTATTCATACCCTGTGATTTGATATCTATACCCTTTAACATAAAAAAACTTAGTATTCAAGTATCAAATAGTTCAAAGGAGGAGATGCTAAATCCCTCAAACAATATTAAAGATTTGAATTTTAATGCGAAAGGAACAAGTTTATAATGAATTTTTACTATGCTCATTCCAAATTAATTGGTTAATAGGTTAAATACTAATAATTATAATTAAAAAATACCAATAATTAATTAATCTAATATGATGATAAATTAAATCATTTAAACAACATCTACGATTTAAAATTTAATATTATAAATTAAATAAATATATATAATATTTAATTGATCAATAAATTAAATACAAATTATTAAAAAAATCCACATAAAAAGTAGGTCCCTTGACGAGAAAAGTAAAAGTTAGGTTCATTTTTTTGTTTGTTTGTTGGGTAATAAAAGCAAGGCACCGTGTTCTTTCAATCGAATCAATTCCTAATTTAGTCTTCAAGAAACGCCATCACAACTTAATTAATAATTATATAATATATCAAATCTGACCAAACATTTTCTTTTTCATTAAACTTTTCAAAAACAAAAAGCATCTCCATATGCTTAGTTCAGCTCCAGGAAAGGCGCTAAATCCTTGGTTGAACCTCAAAGTAACCATCAAGGTTTTGACTTTATTCAGGTTTTTTATTTCATGAAGCTGCATCCGTCATTTTTATTCTAATTTAAATTTTCGATCTAACATCACCAAATTTTTTTTGATCTAACATGATTTAATTATAAAAATTAATAGTCTAAATTAACAAATTCAAACCCAAATTGACTAAAATATAAAATTAACAATTTAAATTTATTTGATTTATAATAATCTAAACACATAATGTTCTGATTTGAAAAATCGAACTTCAGTTTCAAATAACATTAATTTGAAATTATTCAAATACAATATCAATATGATTTTCTTTTAAAATTAAACTTAAATTAATACGATGACAATCTTGATTGATCCCGTTAAAATCAACCCAATCTATGTAGATAATAAAAGATATAATGTAAAAAAAATATTCTTAACATTTGATTAAATAATTATTTTAGTATTTATTATTTTTTTAGAGTATTTTGGCCCATAACGTTTCATTTTAGGAGAAAAATGCCAATGATGTTTGATTAATAATCATTTCAACTCATATTATTTTTTAGATCATTTTAGCCTAATATTTCATTTTAGGGTAAAATGTGCTTGTTTTGGAGTGTTAATCTTTGTTGGCTAAAGATTTCCATCTAAAGAAGATTTTTTATCCCAAGATAATATGTTGGGGGTTAAAATACTCTAAAAAAATCAAAATAATTATTTAGTCAAACGTTGGAAATATCTTTATGATATTATATCTAAATAAATCTGGACGAAACTTGCAAATAATATTTGATCGAACTAAAAATACGATAGCGTAAACATATGCTTTAGCATATGCCATGCATCAGCTAAAAGTAAAACCAGTTGTCTAATTGATCTCCAGCTTTTCCATCGTTGTTTACTATAATTGAACTTGCTCATGTAAGAGAAAGTAACACCATCCAATCCCATGCTTTGCTTTAGCACACAAATGGAAGATGTATGTTTATTTTATCTCCTCCAAAACGCAAAGGGAACATGAAAGTTCTCCCATGCTTACTCGGATTAGAGCAAGGATAATGCAAAATACACCAACCCTACACTATCTTATACCACCTTTTTCTTATGTTCCATTTGGTGGAACGGAAGCATTTCACTTTCTCTCTTCTATTGCATAACCTTGCAGCGACGAATGTGCATTTAAGTTAAAGTGTACACTGAAACTGAATTTTTTTTCTTCAATTAGTGACATATTCAAGTGATTGTGTCTATCTTTAAATTTTATTATATTTATTATGTTTAATATTTTCGTATCATTATATATTCACCTTAAAAACATTTTTAAATTTGCCTGTGTGTTTTTACCTTAATTTTTATAATTTTGCCAACGATTTATTTTTAGAACCGCATGTGATCTCTAATTGGTTTGTCGACAACATTGGAACTTGATGAAACATGTTCATAGCAGAAAGTACTGCGGATCAAATATTTAGATGCTTAGGGAAGAGCAATGATAAAAATTAAAACCGACATAATCAATCAACTCCATACTTTAATCAAATATCTAACTTAAGTTTTAATTAACTTAATCGATTTGACTTAATATTGATAATTAAATTGGGTTAAGTTTAAAATTTATATATATAAATATATATTATAAAACATATTCAAACATAAAAATTTATAATCAATAACTTACCAACATAATCTATTTTATTACATATAAAATCAGTTAAATCCTTGTAATTAATTTAATCAATTCGACTCAATATATAATCATCGGTTAAATTAAAGCTTCTATCAAGGTGAGCCTCAGGAGTTGGAAGATGATTGTAGAGTACGTATAATATCTAACTCATGGTGTATGAATGTTTTTGGAATTTATTTTTTATTCATTGTATCTGAATTTTATAATAAATAAAATATATTTATGGAAAAAAAATTAACTCAAGGGTGGGCACAAAATGACAAAAAAATAATTGTTTAATCAAAGGAAATGAAAAAAATGTAAGGTATCGAGAAAAAAAAAGAATTGTTGTTGTAATATAACGTATACTGCAGAAATTATGAGTTTGACATTGTGAATTTTCTAGAGAAAGTTAGGTCGAATATTTGGGCCTTTTTGTGAAGTTAGCTGAATAAATTGTATTCTGTAGATGAAATATTAACATTGACATGCTTAATAGCGATTTTTTTTTTCTTTTTAAAATGAAATAGAGTGAGGACCTAACTTTGTTTTGTTATATAACTTGCGTCCTAAATATATATATGTTCCTCACTTTCAACATAAGAAATGTAAGAAGCTAAATTGACATTCCATCAAAATAAAGCAAAGAGAGAAAGACGTCAACGAAGGAAAACCCACCTCATTTTACCATTATCCTCTCTGTCATTTCCTTACTAGAATTAAACTTTGTTCTGATTAATTTTGGTAATTGATTGTAAAAGTAGTAGTGGATTTACTATTTTAATTTAGTGATCATTCAACCAACTTGATTGCATTGTATAACATGATTCCGATAATAAAAAAAGAGAACTTTAAATGTAACATAAAACAAAGTAGTTTGCTAACTATCTGAATCATCAGATCGCTGAGTGTGACCAAGTGAGTTAACCTTCTTCGTTTGTTGGCTGCTAGGCTAGGGAGCTATAGTAAGGTCAGAGCCATATGTTACGAAACCACATGGGGTATCGAACTCATGTTCTCCCCTTGGTCAGTCAAACCTTCTGACGTCATTGCTAAGCACTTAATTGTGCTTGAGTTGAAGGCATGTCATTTAGAGCCATCCCTACGATCTCCTTGACATCGATCTATCAGTGAGAGAGTCCTATTGGCTTCTTCGTTTGTACATGCGGAGGAAGCAGACTATTAGTTATTATGGTGGTTCACCATTTATTTATTTGAGCGGAGAGCCACAAATCATCTCACTGGTTGGAATTCTAGTAAGGGCATCTCATCTAAAGGCATCTCTCATACACTTGTGGAGGGATTCGTAGT